GGCGGCGGCTTCGTTCCCCGAAGATAATCCCACCGAGATGCGATTCACGGCCGCCGCCGCTGGTCCGCCTGCCGCCGCCATTTTCTCTGGCGGGTCACATCACATCCCACACTGGAGCTCCGTCCGTCAGTCTCTCGCACCGGGTTCGGAAGGGAGGGGTAGCCGAGGCGAGAATTTCCCCTGGCGGCAAACACGCAAGCAGCGTGGGCTGCGGAGGCTGCGTAGCGTGAGGGGGGGCAGGGCCCCTGGGCGGGCCCAGGTTGCGCGAGGGAAGAATGGCGAAAGGAAGGGGGCGGGGGCTATAGGTAACCTGAGGGAGGAAGAGGCGCGCTGCTCGGCCGGCTGGCCGGGTTCCCTCAGCGCCTCTTCTGGTCGCTCAGGTGTACTTGTCTCTCGGCGTTCCGCGCTCGCCTGGAAGCACGGGCCCGCCTCCTTTTCCCCCCACAGCCTGGCGGGCTGTCTCTCCTCAGTACTGTTGATAACGAAAAAGAAAAGGCAAGCAGAGCGGATCGCTTTGCTGGAGACTGCTCCATTCTGAAAATAGGCAGCATATAATTCATCCCACTGCGCCAGGGCGGACCTGTCGTTAGACAAAGGCGAGAAACCGCCTCAGGCAACACCTAGTGGAGAGCAGCAAACCCTCCCCTGCCCCAGCTATTCTTTATAAACTGCCAGTACTTCGCAGCCCAGGGCAGACTGTATTCATTGTTCTGCCGAAGGTCCAGCAGCTAATGGTTTCCCTACACAGTGAAGGGCCATTCTGCTATCCCAAGGCAATCAAGTTATTTTGGCCAAAAAAAAAAAAAAAAAAGCCGTTGGAGCCCCTCTCCGCCTCATCCCCTGACTGGAGAAAAGCAGTAGTAACGACTTAATTATTTTCCACCTATTTGTGACACCCCAAATCTGCTGCCTGAGATGGCCTTATTGCTGGTCCATTGCTAAGGAACAGAGCTGGGTAAGCCTCTAAATTGGGCGGCTGCCTCTGGTCTCACACAGAAAGCTCTTCCATTACCACAGTGGGTGATGCAACTGCCAGACCAGTCAGCTTCTGTATGGATGGAAGAAGGTAGGGATGCCATCTTTTGCTTTGCCTCTGGCATTATGCACTGGTCAGCAGAAATAAATGGCAATTAATAGAATGCAGAACTGGCAGAGCAGATGGTACTAACTGAAATTGCAGCAGGATGTGCATGTGACATTTTTAAATGTTTCCTATGTACATTTTTTAAAAACATCCCCCTAAATGAAAAAGTAGCTTTTTAGGAAACGCCTAGCTGACTGGATAGCTCAGTGGTTTAGGTCTCTGGCTGTGGAGTCCCATGACACCCCCAGGAGAAAGGAATAGTAAACTACTTCTGAGTATTCTCTACCTGGAAAAAAACTGAAAACGCTCAGAATGGTTATTATTATTAGGGAAAGGCCTGAGATGGAACATTTCTTGCAGATGAGCTAGTTTGCAACTTTTAGGCAAACTTATGTGTTTACCTAACATTTGATTGAGTTCATTCACTTACATGTAACAATATACAGGACAACCGTCTGATACAGGCAGATTTCTGAAAATATATATTCAGAGACTGGGCGAGATCATATGCATTTTTAAAAACCTGCTTTGTATAATATTGCCTATGTTTACAGTGGTTTTGCTTTGTGCAAATCTTGTGCTTTATGTATTGTTTTATGTATTACGTATTATCTTGTCATTTGCTCCATACTGTACCATCTTATTCTTACTGTCGTGGATGTTAAATGTGCAGGTAATAGAATATGCAGCCATGCTTTAAAACAAACAAACAAACAAAAACTAAGACTGCAGTCCTGTATTGCCTTAAATCCCATGGAACTGAAGAGGACTTATTTGTGAGCAGACATGTACAGAGTGCTACAAGGCTATAACCATATTCATTATTTCTAGATGGCTGGGCACACTACATTAAAAAGAGTCTGAATTCTGAGTAAACCTTCCTGGCAACCAGTAGTTCATAGTCAAGGAAAGGCAATACCTGACCTTGCCCTTTTGCGGTGAAATAATTCCTTAATTTGGTAAACATGGTAAAGAAATTAGTCATTGCTATGGTATGAAAACAACATGAATGTTTACCAAAAGGCTTAAATATCATCAAATTTCAACAGTTTTTGATTTCTCAGCCATCCTCACACATCAAAAGATTCACACTCCTTTTAACTATTAGATTTGCATCCTTGAACTTTGCTGAGCTACTGCCATTGACAAGTCCTGCACAAACCCATGAATAGGCAGAGTGGCATCCTGACATTGCAACTCAGCAACCATGTAATACAACAGTAGAATGCTGTGCATGCCAATCCCTTTCTTAGTTTCCCTGGAATGTCATTTGATAGTCTCCTCTGCCCTTTCCCCCCATCTGCTTAGAGTACAGTGATGAGGTGTGTCTCATTTGTCCTTAGCTTTACAGTTTGGAAAAATAAAAGATTTCAACATTTCCATTTTTCTCAGCATCATGATCTGCGTATCTGGCAAGTGGAAAACATCCTCTCCCAATCAACACTATCAGCTTGGAGGCAATCCAGCTAGTGAGTGTCCAGCTTTCACAAATTCCTTCTCAACTCAGTTTATTTATATTTTATTTATTTATTTTATTTGTACCCCGCCCATTTGGTCTTACGACCACTCTAGGCGGCTTTCAATACGACATAAACAGCAAATAAAAATGACACAATAATTATTACATAAAATATCTTCCAATAACAATTTACAAAACAGGAAGATAGAGTGAAAAATAAATAAAGAAAAATAAATAAAGAAAAAAGATCAGGTATTGACTGGAGGGAAGGCCTGAATAAACATCCATGTTTTTAATTGGTTTTTAAAGATACCCAGCATAGGGGCTGTGTGAATCTCCGGAGGGAGATTGTTCCAGAGTCGAGGAGCTACCGCTGAGAAGGCCCGATTTCGTGTTTTTTTCTTCCAGGCCTCTCTGCATCAAGCTCCTCAGCCTCACCTCCTGACTCGCTCGGGTGATCCAGGTAGAGCTTGGTGGGAGTAGGCATTCCACCAAATATCGAGGTCCTAAACCGTTTAGGACCTTGTAAGTAAGCATTAAAACTTTGAAGTCGATGCGGAACTGAATGGGCAGCCAATGCAATGCGGCCAGAATAGGAGAAATATGCTGGTATTTTCTTGCTCCACTAAGGAGTCTGGCCGCTGCATTCTGCACCACCTGGAATATCCGTGTCAACCTCAAAGGCAGCCCCGCGTAGAGCACGTTACAGTGGTCTAATCTTGAGATTACGAGCACATGCACCAAGATAGTGAGCGCCCCCGTGTCGAGATAGGGTCACAGCCGGGCTATCCGCCAGAAATGGGAAAAGGCAATACGGACTACGAACGCCACTTTATCAAGACAAGCTTTTCTAAAAGGCATTTTATTTTGCATAACTCCTTAATTTTTGTTTGTTGGCAAATCAGAACAAATGTAACATAAAATCTGGAGATGTATTTAGTACATTCTACTGAATGTATGCTTTCAAATTATTTGAGTTATGATGCTATGAATTAGTGACTTTTAAAAGGTCATTGACATCTGTTCACCTGTTACAACCTCAAGGTTGTGGCTTCCTTTATTGATCAAACTGTCACATATTTGATCATGCTTTTTTCCACTACCTTCAACCTTCCTCAGCATTACTATCCTTTCCAGTAAGCCTTATCTTCTGCTCTCTTCAAAGTACAATAGTCTCAGTTCAGTCATTTTTACTTTTAGAAAAGGTTTATTATTTTTTATTTACTTAAAATATTTTTACCCTGTATTTCTTCTTAAATGGACCCAAGATGGCTTACATCATTAAAAGACAATATAAACATGAGTATACAAGTACCAAAAAGGATCAAACAAATATCATAAAAAACATAAGCAACACCTAAACACATTCAAAGCAATAGGTACAAGAATTCATTAAAAAAACCAGGCAGCTTTCAGGGAAAGCTTGCCTGAAGAGAAAGATCTTTGCCTGCTTGTGGAAGGGCAGCAAAGATGGGGCTAGACTGGTCTCTTCTGGGTGGGAGTTCCAAAGTCTAGGAGTAGCATCAGAGAAGGCTCTCTTCTGTGTCTCCACCAAACACACCTGTGAAGGTGGTAGGACTGAGAGAAAGGCTTCTCTTAATGATCTTAGCACTCAAGTGAGCTCATAAAGGGAGATGTAGCCCTCGAGATAGCTTGATTTTTCCCACTTATTTGTTTTTATGGGTGTCCATGGTATATGTAAAGCTTCCCTGCAACACAATATTTCAAATTAATTTATTTTTTCTGGTAGCTTTCTTCACTATCCTGCTTTCCCATCTGAACATACTGCAAGTACCTACTGAGTATCAGTTAAAACCATTAATATTTTCGGTGGTGTATATTTTACCATGAGAAAAAAAATACAACAATTTGTTAAAGAATACCTTGATTGTCATTTTTAAATCTTGCTGTTATTCATTTATTTATTTTGCATTGTCTTTGATCCTAAGGTAGTCAGAAGGACTTATTTCCAAAGAGATGTGCATAGGATTGCACCTTAAGGAAGTTAATGGAAGAAAAGCCTTACATTCTTCTCTCTCCAGTACAGATTCCTGAATCCTCTAAAACAGTGGTCCCCAACCTTGGGCCTCTAGATGTTCTTGGACCACAACTCCCAGAAACCTTCACCGCCACCTCTGCTGGCCAGGATTTCTGGGAGTTGAAGTCCAAGAACATCTGGAGGCCCAAGGTTGGGGACCACTGCTCTAAAAAGTCTCTCTTAAAGGGCAGGGAGTCTTTTGACCAATATCGAATAGGGGACAAGAAACAATCATTTATCTTCTTTTCGTTCCCTTCCCCGCCCCATTTTAAGGAAGGTCTTGCTGAAAGATAATGGTCTAC